TCTAATAAATTAGAGAATCATGTTATTTTTAGGTATCATATTTATTTATTAAAACATAAAATAGAAGAGTAAAGCCCGTTTTCATCATCAATCCCTAAATTTTAAGTTACCCTTATCAAACCAAATTTCCTGTTACATGTTACCATAGGGGTCACTTAAAAATTAGGGATTGATGGTGAAAACGGGTATAAGACTACAAATGAGCTGAATGATGTTCAGCAGTGGACGTCCTGTGGCTGAAATGATGACGATGATGATAATGAAGACTACAAAACTCTTTATACTTAACTTGTTTTACCTATAATAATAAATAAATAATAATAAATATCTTTCGACAATTTCACACAGCGCTATCTAGCCCCAAAGTAAGTAAAAGTAAGTAAAGTAAGTACCTAGGACTAATAGATAGTCAGACAGAGCTATAAATATGTACCTATACAATACAGAATCCGCGTCGTTCCTCGCTCCCTAAGCTAGTTATTGACTTTATTGAATTACTCAGAGTATAAGGAAAAATATTGGCACCTCCCCAGCTGATCGCGTTGCGGGTATCGGCCTCAATCCAGAGATAAGCACATTATGATGCCATTACAGCTGCCGCATTAGACGGCACGTCGACATGGTTTTTATCGATTTTTTGAGATAAGCCCATGCGTTTGTCGCCAAAAATCATCGATAAGTTTTTATCACAGCACGCATCTTAACCCGGATGGTGTTGATTTAGGTGGCACTTGATTGCTTAATATGTTCTTAAATAGAGACTTTCTTGTCACCCACCGCTACAACTCTTGTGTAGCCAGGATCTACAGCTTCACCGTCAATAAAACCCTGCAACTAGTGAAAGTCAAGTTTTTCCCGGGGGAAAGATAAACTGTCATTGGACCTGCAACGAAATTAATCAGAAGGTATTTTAAAAACATAAATAGTGAGATCTCATTATTATCCCATTAAAACAACCCTGTTTGTCGACTTCGCAAACAAAAGAATTTAGGTCTACATGGGTGCCAAGTTCTGAAGATAAAATATGACACCTGGCACTCAAATAAAATTTTGTAGGTATTTATTTCTGAGGGAATGCATTGCAGAAAACTTAATGATAAATTAAGCCTTAAGTGAATTTAGCCAAAACAATTTAGGCACCTAAAAACACAATTTTTTGACTTCGTGTGGAATCAAACCTAGGACTGATGATCTGAAATATCTTTAATCTTCAATTGTCTGCGTTAAACGGCAAATGGTGCATGCACACTGCAGCTGCGGCTGGCCTAAATAGCAAGGAGGCCATTGCGATGCGACGCTCCAATCCTTCACAGGTACATAGGTACAGTCGACAGCACCTCAGATTATACATTTTGTTGAAAAATCGAATCTATTACAACTACATAAGGTCACAGTGTTTATGCTGACTTGCCGTCGTCTGTACGCGTAGTTTCCACCGACAGAAATGGCAAGCAAAAATTTACATTAACACCGAATCGTTGAGTCTAAAGTGGTGTGCCTATATCGTTGTAATCAAAGAAAGTTCGTGTCCATTCAAATTCAAATGATTTCTTTCAGAAACCAAGTCTCATAGTAACATAATGACTCACACAAGTCAAAATAAGACTTATTATTTACTTAGGTAGGTATTTAGGTACCTACTCTTACTTAGATTGCGAAACTATAGATGTTACTAAAACAAACTACATATTTTACCGATAGTTTTTCCAAGTCTAGCGCTGGTTAGAAGCATAATTTGAAGATAAATACTGTGGCATCTTATGTCTTCTTAGTTGTAAGTGCGATTTTCCTACAAAAAATATTATAGTCCTTGTTATACCTACGTTTGGTTGCCAAATATCAAATTCATAAACCTTCCCATATTCCCCCTCGCTAGTATCTTGTATTCAGGGCGACTTCCCAGATCGTTTGGAGTCCCTGGGGTGAAATCAGGATCGTTGTTTGTACGTGAGCACGGTTGACCCGTAAAGTGTGGTGTTACTTACCCCCGTCGCCTCTTATTGTTAGGTGGTTATTTTTATTCAATTTTCACAAGCGCTGAATGTCATTGAATATCTGATAGGTTATAAGCAGCTTCAAAAGTATCAATTGTAACATATCAAAGTGTAGAAAGTTTTTTAAAAAATGTAGAGCTTTTAATGACGTGAGATGTCCACCCACAAGGTGGACCGACGACCTTATAAAGGTAGCNGTGTAGATAAAATAGAAGAGTAAAGCCCGTTTTCATCATCAATCCCTAAATTTTAAGTAATCCTTATCAAACCAAATTTCCTGTTACATGTTACCATAGGGGTCACATAAAAATTAGAGATTGATGGTGAAAACGGGCACAAGACTACAAATGAGCTGAATGATGTTCAGCAGTGGACGTCCTGTGGCTGAAATGATGACGATGATGATAATGAAGACTACAAAACTCTTTATACTTAACTTGTTTTACCTATAATAATAAATAAATATTAATAAATATCTTTCGACAATTTCACACAGCGCTATCTAGCCCCAAAGTAAGTAAAAGTAAGTAAAGTAAGTAAGTACCTAGGACTAATAGATAGTCAGACAGAGCTATAAATATGTACCTATACAGTACAGAATCCACGTCGTTCCTCGCTCCCTAAGCTAGTTATTGACTTATTGAATTACTCAGAGTATTAGGAAAAATATTGGCAACTCCCCAGCTGATCGCGTTGCGGGTATCAACCTCAATCTAGAGATAAGCACATTATGATGCCATTACAGCTGCCGCATTAGACGGTACGTCGACATGGTTTTATCGATTTTTTGAGATAAGCCTATACATTTGTCGTTTAAAATCATCGACAGGATTTTATAACGACGCGCGCTCTAGCCCGGATGGTATTTGGCACTTGATTGCTTAGGGCGGAAGGTTTGCGTACTGTAGCTGCAATATTCATTCTTAAATAGAGACGTTCTCGTTCCCACCGCTGCAACTCCTGTGTAGCCAGGATCTACAGCTTCACCCAGTAAAAATCCAACCAGTGAAGGTCAAGTTTCTCCCGGGAGAAAGATAAACTGTCATTGGACCTGCAACGAAATTAATCAGAACTCAGAAGGTATTGGAAAATCATTAGTGAGGTCTTATTATAATCCCATTAAAATAATTCTGGTTGTCGACTCCGCAGACAAAAGAATTTAGGTCTACATGGGTGCCAAGTTCTGAAGATAAAATATGACACCTGGCACTCAAATAAAATTTTGTAGGTATTTATTTCTGAGGGAATGCATTGCAGAAAACTTAATGATAAATTAAGCCTTAAGTGAATTTAGCCAAAATAATTTAGGCACCTAAAAACACAATTCTTTGACTTCGTGTGGAATCAAACCTAGGACGGATGGTCTGAAATATCCTTAATCTCCTATTGTCTGCGTTAAACTGCAAATGGTGCATGCACACTGCGGCTGCGGCTGGCCTAAATAGCAAGGAGGCCATTGCGATGCGACGCTCCAATCCTTCACAGGTACATAGGTACAGTCGACAGCACCTCAGATTAAACATTTTGTTGAAAAATCGAAACTATTACAACTACATAAGATGCCACAATGTTTACGTTGACTTGCGGTCTTACACCAATTACGGTTATTTGGTAAAATGAGACTTTTATCATTACATATTTACTAGGTTGCAAAACTATAGATTTACCGATATTTTTTCCATGTCTAGTGCTGGAAAGAAGCAAAATAATATGAAGGTGAATACTGATGCCATCTTCAGTATCTTATAGTCTTGTTTTACTCTACCTACGTTTGGTGGCCAAATATCAAATTCATAAACCATCCCTTATTCCCCCTCGCTAGTATCTTGTATTCAGGACGACTTCCCAGATCGTTTGGAGTCCCTGGGGTGAAATCAGGATCGTTGTTGGTACGTGAGAACGGTTGACCCGTAAAGTGTGGTGTTACTTACCCCCGTCGCCTCTTATTGTTAGGTGGTTATTTTTATTCAATTTTCACAAGCGCTGAATGTCATTGAATATCTGATAGGTTATAAGCAGCTTCAAAAGTATCAATTGTAACATATCAAAGTGTAGACAGTTTTTTAAAAAATGTAGAGCTTTTAATGACGTGAGATGTCCACCCACAAGGTGGACCGACGACCTTATAAAGGTAGCAGAAAGGCGCTGAGTGCAGCCGGACGATGTGGAAATCATTGGAAAGGCAGCAGTGGACGTCCTGTGGCTGAAATGATGACGACGTGATTATGAGAGCTTTTAATTGGTTTTGTCTGTGTGACTACTAGGTACCTAAATGCATTTAATTTTTTTTATAAATATAAAAAGGCTTTCTTGTGATGCACTTTGTTCTTCACTGTATTCTCATTCTAATAACATTGATGTTAAATGGATAATAAAAGTATACAATTATGAATAAGGGTGAGACATTTAAAACTACACATTCTACATTAGCACCGTTAATGCATCTGTTTCACCAACTTTGAAACACCTGCAGCGGATGGGAATATAACCTAGTTTTGAAGAGTCTCCATGAAACTAATTTATCTAGAAATTGCACTGCTAAACAGGTACGATCTCATTCCAGAACTATTAAAGATCTTGAAGACTTAGCGGAGTGTTGAATTGAAACTGCAATACATTTGCAGATAGTATTCAACTGAAAGTAATGTGAACTTTAGCTAGGTACCATAACAATACTATTTAGTAAGTGTTAGTTTTTAAGAGTTTTATGAGCTCATCGACAAAAAAAATTTTGGAGCAGAATAGGGTTGTGTAATCTCAAATACCGTGCTAGGTATATAAATATTTACTGTATTTTATTGAAAAAGAGGCTGACAAAGGTGACAGGTTTTCCTCCGCCACTTCTTTTCAGCACCAGCCCATATTATTATGTTGTCCTGAAGTGGTGGGCCCTGCAAAGGGCTTATGTCCTGAATAAACTATTTGAATTTGAATTTCTGTGACTTTACTTATCTTTAGATGACTCTTTGAACAACCAGTTTTATTGTCAATATTTCTTGTTAACAGTGTCGTGCCCAGCACCGCTCAAGAACCGCGACTTCGTGCTGCAGCGGTCGTGGCTCGACACCGGCGATGAGAAGATGATCCTCAACCACTCCGTCTTCCACAAGGACTACCCACCCAGGAAGGGCTATGTCAGGTAAAATTAGGCACTATTCCCACCTCTCGTTCCCACCGCTGCAACTCCTGTGTAGCCAGAATCTACTACTTGATCGGCAATAAAAACTCAACCAGTGAAGGTCAAGTTGCCCCGGGGGAAAGTTAAACCGTCATTGGACCCGTAAAGAAATTAATCAGAAGAACATACGAGTAGAAAGAGTTCGAAATTAGGTTAGTCATCATCCTATCATCATCATTATTTCAGCCACAGGATGTCCATTGCCGAACATAGGCCTCCCCCAATGATTTCCATATTTCCCGGTTGGTAGCGGTCTTCATCCAGCGCCTTCCTGCTACCTTTATGAGGTCGTCGATCCACCTTGTGGATCATCATCTTAGAAGAACCAAAAAGAACGAACGTTTTACTGTGTTTTTCGCCTTTAAGATGTCAGTTTATCGAATAGAAGGGTGTCCTATACTAGGTTACTGTACACGTACTATGCTGAAACATGGTCTCTATTCAAAAAATCATTACTACTAATATTCAACTCAATCAGTAACAGTTCTGTGAAAAATATGGCAAAATAATTATGAACCGTTGAGTTTCCAAATAAAAACAGACTAAACAACAATTTGTTATTTCTTTGATGTTACTTAAATGTTTAGACGTTCATTATTCTCGTTTTCCTACAGTAATTAGAATTCTTAAGACACGAGTGATTAATGGTTGGTGGTTAACTTTCTGAAATGTTCACATTACACAAAATTTTGGAGACATCCTTAAACGTATTTACAGTCAGCATTAAATATGTAGTTAATGACACGCAAAGTAGCCAACAAGTACACAACACGTCTTTGTTACAATTATCAACTTTTTGGCCACTTTTACACTATTTGACGCTGAGTGTACTGCGCAGTACTGGGAACCTTTAAAGCAATATTCTCTGCTGATTCGAAAATCACGTTAGAAATTGCGTAAGAAAGACGATAAAAAGGGAAAAAGAAACTGCGACTAAGAGATTCTTTAGTCTCCTCGCACAATGGAGGTAAATGCTCGTGCCTGAATAGGCCTCAGCCTTTACAATATTACAATACGTCGGATTATCACTTTGCAGCCGCTTTTCAGGAGGAAGGTTTTATTAAGCACTAACTTTTTATTAACAGGTAATTCAAACAATAATCTAAACGCTATATGATTAAAATGTTATTTTGTATGTTTTCAACCGACTTCAAAAAAGGAGGAGGTTCTCAATTCGACCCGTATGTTTTTTTTTTTTTCTATGTTTGTTACGCGATAACTCCGCCAATTATGAACCGATTTGAACAAATCTTTTTTCGGCGTATAGGTAATACCTCAAGGGTGGTCCCATTTAAATTTAATAATAGAAAAAACAACCCCCAAGGGTGGAAAATTCGGGATGAACTTTTTTANCGTTCCAAGCATTTACAGCATCAAATAGTTAATGACACGCAAAGTAGCCAACAAGTACCTACACAACACGTCGTTGTTACAATTATCAACTTTTTGGCCACTATTATACTGTTTTACGCTGTAGTGACTGTACTACGCAGTACTAAGAACCTTTAAAGCAATATTCTCCGCTGATTCGAAAATCACGTTAGAAATTGCGTAAGAAAGATGATAAAAAGGGAAAAAGAAACTGCGACTAAGAGATTCTTTAGTCTCCTCGCACAATGGAGGTAAATGCTCGTGCCTGAATAGGCCTTATCCTTTACAATATTACAATACGTCGGATTATCACTTTGCAGCCGCTTTTCAGGAGGAAGGTTTTATTAAGCACTAACTTTTTATTAACAGGTAATTCAAACAATAATCTAAACGCTATATGATTAAAATGTTATTTTGTATGTTTTTAAAAATGATCTACTACGAGTACGAGTAAGTGTAGAAGAAAGAAACAAGTTTTTTGGCTCAAAAACAGAATGAGTGTCGAACGCACACACGTCTTATTATTTCATTTTCTTGGTTTTTTTGTGATAGATAAAGTGTTCTATTGCTATTTTATGTAAAACTAAAGGAATTTTCGAGTATTTCCACTAAAAATAAAACGAGTACACAAATAAATGACTTTTAAATTGAGAATCATCGTGAATGATTAACTATGCTCTCGATAAAATTTTCCAGTAATGCAATAAAACGTAGCTAAATATCTTCCGACTTGTCGAATCGGTTTATTTATATTGGAAATGAGCTCAGTTATCACCTGATTTATAAACTCTCTTATCTGTGCGCGGAAAATACTGTTCACATACTTATAATAATTTAACATATAGGTGTTAATAATTTCAGATATCTTCTCTTGCAATTCAAGCATCACCTTTCCTTACATTTTTCTCGTACCTACACGTATTTCAACGTCAGTAAATAGTTATATTAATAACAATAAATATAAAGTACAATAAAGGCTTATAACAATGAAATATAAGAAGGAAGGAAGCTAATAGTTAGTACTTTGTCTGAAGTAAAAGTAACCAAATTAAAATTCGTTAATTCAGAATTGTATAAGTACCTAGAAACTTTATAAATATAAATGCTCTACCATTTTGGCCGGTCCTTAAAAGCCCAAATTGCTTACTTATTTACTGAAGCGCCGTATAATTTGCGTTTTCTTTGCCGAAAGCCGGCAATCATATTAATAATATAATCAAAGTCCCGCGGAACTGAAAGAAGCCCGGTAATTAAAAACCTTGCGTCCTGTTCTCTCATATAGGATTAGACTAGTGGGAACGGGACAAAAGAAGAGCTCTTGCGAAGGAGTTTGCGGGGCGGCATTTTTAGTCGATCTAAGTGCCGAAACGAGATGGGTTTCAATGGCTGGATACTTTGGAGTTTTCTCGATTAAAGGGACTTTGTCGTGGCTTTCCTTATCGTGATTAATTACTCTAAAGACAGAGTCGTTAGCACTTTTTATTGAAAATATACTTTAAAATTTTTAAACGACTTCATTATCAATAATAGCGTTAGGTAAATTCGAAAGTTTCAATACTGAACTGAACTAAAAACCAATAAAAGCTTAAAGCTTTCTCGTTGCATTGTTTCTAAAATTCATGAATTCTAAAAGCTTTCGCAGCAATAGTACAACATTTGAACTAAATAACTTTCACGTTAGGAATTTTATTCATTTTAGTTCTGTTTCCATTGTGATGTGTCAAATGGCTTGTTTATTCTTCAGGTAATTTAATATGTGACGATAGAAAAATCAGCCCTAAGTACAATATGAAAATCGTTCGCCTCTGAAATCTTTATAAGCTCTACTTAAGATTTCTTACTACACGCCTCTATCATCAAAGACTAGTAAAAAGATAAAAGCTCCACTAAAAACAAACAAAATAAAGAAACGAATTGGAATAAATTCACCTTTATTTTTCAATTGAAGCAAACAATACAAATAGTCATGTCACTTCCAAAAAAGCCTCNAAAGCCTTCGGCAAATACAAAAATCTGATCTAATAAGCAGCATAAGAGTAGGCGCACACCGTTGATTTTTAGTTGGCCGATAGTTGTGCCCGATTTTAAATTGTATGAAGAATCGGCCAAATCGAATCGGCGTAGTGTGCGCACTCCCATACATGCCCATACTGATCAACTGCCCGACTAAACTATCGGCCGATGAAAAATCAACGGTGTGCGCCTACTCTTAGAGAGTAAATAGAATAAATATTGGTCTCAAAAACTTATTCCCGTGTAATCAGAAATGTGAATTGGTTGCTAGGGCTGTCACTCGCAGATGTAGCTTTAAGGTTCGGAATATAATAGCATTATGATATACTTTATCAAATGCCTTTGAGTTATTCGATGATCAAATAATAATATTTAGAAGTGACGATAGTCGAATGGTGAAGGTGACTGGCCGACTGGTGATCCGAGAAACGCGGGTTCGATTCCTGTCGCCGCTCGACTTTTGTGGTGAACCCATTCGAGCATATTATTTAGTTTACCACGAGTATAATACTTGAAGATAATGCTTTATTTATTTATGTACTTTGGTCATAAATACATTTTATGCAAAATACTTTCCAAACATTTTTGGCTGGAGAGCACAAAACTTTATTTAAACATTTACTTCAGGGAATTTGCAAGGCTCGAGTAGCCTTGGATTAATTTCCTAATATCTAAACTGATAAATAAAGCGTTTAAGCAAATTTTGTTTGTTGTTTACCCTCTATTAGACATCAGTCCTTTTGACACTCAAAGGTCGTGGCTTGGCACGAAATCGCTAGTTTAAAATTGGTGCAAAGCAGTAACTTCCGTTTCTATATTGTTTCAGTCAGAAACTTGATGTTAATGCTGTCACTTTCGACGGCTAAGCTCTGACTACTAGAAAATACAAATGTCTTGCTCAGTAGAACTAGAAATAGTTAAATGCTAACAAAATATCAAATTAAAAATCCGGTAACAGAGGTATATCATGAAAACAATTCTTTTAGAGGAGCTTCAAAAAGGTTTTTTGGTGTTGAGAATTTCAAGCATTCTTTTTTAGAAAAAGACTGTCAGGTTAAAATATTTTTTTTGTGTCAAGACTTGATTAATTTTATGATCCTCAAAGGGCTGGCAGGCTATAAATTATAGTAAAGTTTTTGATGGTAGCCCTATGTTGTCATTATTTGCCCAATTTGCGGGCACTCCAGAGATTAGATAGCGTCACGCGTCCGACCGTGACGTCGGCCTTCGTCGTGACGCACTCGTCTCGGCTAAACTTCATCATGATACCTACTCGTTACCTCTACCAGAGTAAATACAAATGAGTAGGTCGTCTTCATAGAAACGCCTGAGCGTTAATTGTATGTGAGCGCGCCAATACGTATGCGGCGCGCACTCACATACAAACCGCGCTCGGTGCGTATCTATGAAGATGACCTACTCATTTGTATTTACTCTGCCTCTACATATTAAGTTTAATCGAGATTTTTCTCAATTCACTACTCAATCTTTTTGCTTTTTCAAATGTTTTAATGAACACCATGAAGTCGCATTCTTACACATTTATTCGATTACAGTGATTTTATTTCTGGCAGTCAGGGGAAAGCGACCTGACCATCATCAGTGGCAATGTACGTCATAGATAAACTATAAATTTATATTTTGTGGTTATGGAGCGTTAAATGGATCAGCTATTGAGAAGCAATCCAGGACACTCAGGGATTTCTGGAATTTACAGCTGACTTGTTCTGACAGAGACAGCAAATTAATAAGTACAAAGGGACAATTACGAAAATATCAACACTCTCTTGACCATAGCTCCACCCGTCTAATTTCGTATTTCTAACAATCGCCACCCCTAGGGAAACGTATAAAATGTGTGTCAAATTGCGAATCGGCGTGACGGCTAGGGCTGCCACGTTCCGCAGCTAAGCACTTTTCCCCCTGGACTCCCCCCTTTTGGCATTCCCAAACTGCTGATGTTCGGAACGTGCCCGATTGTATCACTGAATTCGCGAACGCATAAGTGAGACATTCCTGTCAATTTTCTTAAGTAGCATTGTTAAAAGGTACAATGGCTTTATTATTACAATGGATTTGGAAAGAATCATGCGTTTGAAGGATTGCTTTAGGATCTTTCTTTTTAGGTAAGCGAAAAATGCTGAGGGAAGAAGTTACTTAGTTTGTACCTACTATAAAATGTTTAGCCTCTGTTTCTGGATTGAGATTTCCAACTTAAACGTGCTCATTTTCTACTGAAGGCTGAATATGATACCAAAAAGTTCCAACTTGATTAGAAGATAGCATGCTCTAGCTAAAAATCTTAGTTCAGAAACCTAACCTTAGTCATGGATATGAAATACTTTTCTATTGGATTAAAAAAGGGTTTGACGTCATTGTTTTGCTCTTTAGGTTACCTAATAAATAAAAATACTTACCTTTCTTATTGTGTGGGCTGTGTAACCTTTTTTTCTATTTGTGGACAGTCATTTCAGCATCAAAGGCTGGGTAGTGCTGTGGCGCAGGATGACGCATTCAGTGCGTCATCAATCATTCACAGCACTATTGACGCGTGAGAGATACGCTGGCACAGCTCAAACTGAAAAGCCATCTACATATTGAGATGGCCTTTCAGTTTATCAGTACTTCAGATCATAGATCAGTACTGTTACAGCTAGCATTGGCTATAATAGTGTGTTCCAGTAACTCGTCCTAACTCTTCACCTCAGTCTAAAGTATTATGTTTTGATACTACAAGATCTGTTGTAATCTGATCTGATAACAGAAAAGTAACCAACAGTGAATAAACACCACATATTTTCACTGAGATGTAGAGTTAGCTCTTGTCTTAGGTTTGTCTTGACAACATTTTACATGAAAATATTTTTGGTTTATTCGGTTCCTGAAGCTTTAAATATGTACAAAATATTACATATTTAAAGCTTCATTTATTCATTAATTTACAATTCCACATCTGTATATATATAGTCTGTATACTTTACCTGTTGAAAAATAATTAGTGTATCTGCCTGTTCTTTTTGTCCACTGCGCGAATGTTGCTGAACAGTGAAGTGATCCTCCGCGTTTCAGTTGATTAGTCGGTAACTGTTTCGTTTTGCGGCTTGTGGTTTCAAATCGAATTGGGTCATCCCAAAACTTGTCCGAAAACAACACAATCACTGGATACTGATAAATTGCGTTCTTATGGTGGCTTAATTGCCCAACTGGTACTGCCAAATGTTTATAAAACTCCTAAAAATACTTTATGGAAATGTCTGTTGACTTTTGAGATAGGCAGATTTTTATAATTTATTACAGTTTACCACGTAGGCACTGTAGACACCGGAAAACATAGCGTGGAAAGTCTATCCACAAGGTGGACCGACGACCTCATAAAGGTAGAAGGAAGGCGCTGGATTTCAACCAGAAGATGTGGAGGCCTATGTTCAGCAGTGCACGTCCTGTAGCTGAAATGATGACGTAGGCACTACGTTTATACTCGTACCTAATATATCATATTCGGTAGAATACTGATCTCAATACGCTATAAAGTTTCGCTTCCCTTTCACCGTTACAATGTGTAAAAGGGTGGTTATCGCTCGTTAGACAGAAACTGAGCACGTTCGTTACACACGAGCACACCGGACATTTTGCGAGAAAAAATTACAGGACCGTACGTGACCCTACTCTTACTACCTTTATAGGCATAGCCTTATCTCTATGTGATAGGATTCGTAATAATGTCCACTAAACTATTATGTCGGCAGTGGTAAGTGTTCTTCATCTATTTAAGGTTTCGAGCTTCTAACCGCAAAGCCAGTGGTTTATGGTTAAATCCCTCAAGGGATGTTTGTGTGAGTATTATGATCCTGCATTAGTATGAGTATGTGTAATATTGTTTATTAAGCTAATGAACTAGGTAACTTATATGTTCAGGATTTTTACAAATAAAAAGAGAGGGACTGAGGATTCGAGCCTATAAAAGGCATTATACAAGCTAGTTCATTTACGGCTAAATTAAATACTGTGTCAACATGAAATTTAAATAGATATATTTATTTATCCGATTTAAGATTTAGATAAAACATAGGTACTTACAATTTGATATGACCCGATATTAGTTTCGGTTTCGGTTGCTTTTGATCTAAACATCTTCTAACTTTCTGAGTATCGTATCGTCCCGTGGAACCCTAAGCGGTCGCATGAGACCGTGGTCACAATGAGGGCTATCGTTTTAGCGCTCACCAGTTAGCGCCACTGTAGAGTAAGGTCCTGTCACTTGCTAGTAGCGAAGACAGTGGCGCCAACTGGTGAGCGCTAAAGTGGTAGGAGGACTATCGCATTTGCACTCATCAAGATGGCGCCACTGTAGAGTAAGGTCCTGTCAATCGCCAGGGGTGCCAACTGTTAAGTATAAAAACGATAGCCCTCATTGATTTCTATCATGTTTCGATTCGCTGGTACTTGAAAGCTTTTATTTTTAACTGGCTTCTAAAAAGGAGGAGGTTCTATGTTCGACTGTATGTATTTTGTTTTTCTATGTAGGTAGGTATGTTCACCGATTACTCCGTCAATTTGGGGAACAATATTCAAAACAGTTTCTTTGTTCGATAGAGTACAATTCTAAGGTGGTCCTATTGTAACCAAGTCAGGATCTGACGATGGGATCCTAGGGAAACCTCAAATTTTGTAGTCACGTATTACGTTTTTCATATTTTTCTTAAGTTAATAACCTTGTCTCTTTGCTTGCAGAGCGCTGTCCCTTCTAACTGGATTCGTGGTGCGCACACGGCCTGAGGGCGGCAGCTGGCTGGGATATGTCTCGCGCTCCGACCCCCGCGGCGCGCTTCCTGCGTGGCTTGTCAACAGGTAGATAGTAAGATAAATATAAGGTTTATTTGCAAAACACATTGACAAAGTAATAGTAACAAACACAGGAGTAGCAGAAAAATAATTACATTACAAGAAATAAAAAAGAAAATCCTGCGCTAAGGTGTAAGTGTGCCGCAGTGATGCCAAAAGTAAAGAGCTCAGTGTAGACGAAAAGGAACAGAACACTAATTTTCAGCTCTTTCTTGAAAAAAAGAAAGAAGACGCACGACAATACTGGCCATTCTTTTGGCGCAAATACACTATGCGGGAAATTGACAGAGACGAAGCGCGAGCCCGCACATCGAAGTATGGGCGACCCACGACTTAACTAACCGAAGTGCGTGTTTACTCTACGTCTCGATCAATTTTCCGCATAGTGTACTTGCGCCATTAGTGTAGTTCAAGTGACGGGAACACACCACACTCGGATGTAAGTGTAATGGTCGAATCGAATACTCAAGGAAATTCGGAACATCGATTTTGCAAGATCAGAGGTCAATCAATGCAGTTCACCCGATAAACGACGGTGCTAGCTTGCAGTCAATACTCTAGGAAGGATGAAGTTTCGTTTTATTGCGATGCACTATGGGTATAACAATAATTGCTGGTAACTTACCTTTAACAACTTTAAGTCGACGAAGCAGAATACGAATTAACGTAGGGTTTTTCTTCACCAATCGCTGAATGTACCTAATGTACTCTGGGATCTAGATTTGTCTAGGAGAAATATAAGATGAGGTTAGAGGTATTCCAATATTTATACATACTTAGCTGTAGGTATTATATCCACGAGGCTTAAAAAGGAATTCGTACGCGCATTCTTAAAAGCTTTTCCTCGTTTAAGCCTAAATCTAAGAGAACATTCTAGATGCCATTATTGAATTAGCAACCTCTACTTTTATCCACGTAGGCAAGCGGGTAATCCACAAGGGTCGGCCCTTTAGTGCTCGAATCATTGAGCACGATCCTTTACTTTTCTTAGAGGGTTTTTAGGTTTTTCCGATTGTAGATATACCTAATACGCTAATACCTATTCGGATGATTTTTATGACCAACATTTTTGAAACAAACTCGATCAATGTCGGCAATATGTATTGAAGTGCTTTCACTCGGTCTTTTTAGCAATAATTTTACTAGATAACTATTTACATGGTATTATTCTTTAGCTATTTAGTTGGTAATACAAAGTTCTATCCAAAAAAATATCTACGGTTATTCTTTACTATTGAATACTACGAATGTCTACCGTTTGTAAGGTAAGGAAACCATTTTTGAACAGAAAGCGTTACCGCGCATCCCTCGGGAACTGTGTATTTTTTGCAGATACACCTATCCTGTTATTTCTGTAGGTAGCTAGGTATATTTGAAATAAAGAAAGTAAGAAAAAAACATTTATTCGATTACATTACAGTATTCTGTATTCCGCATTATGTGCAAAATGAACAAAGCTTTAGGTACTCATTATGTAACCCTGAACAAGTTATTACAAGAACCTCCGTTTCATAGACTTGTAGAGCTAGTTCACTAACAGTTAAGTCACGATAGCTGAACGGTGAATTGGTCAGACTGGCCGACTCAACTTCAAAGGGACGCGGGTTCGAACCCCGCTGCCGCTCGACTATTGTGGTGAGCCCACTCGTGATTATTACCTTTGTATGAGACCCATAGATCGTTTCATCCACGAAGACGCGCCTCACAAATTTTTGGTCGAGGCACACGAGGGAAGCGCGGGGTGTGGAGAGTTTGATCCGAGCAATCTGAGCTTCATTATTGTAGTGTGCGACGTGCGTGCACTCATGGATAATTTAGCGTATACCGATAACACTCAAACATTAGCGGAAGAATGGTGGGGCCGCGTCTTCGTGGTCGAAACGATCCATAGTAAACTAGCGGCCGCCCGCGACTTCGTACGCGTGGATCCCGTTTTACCCCCTCAGGGGTGGAATTTCGTAAAATCCTTTCTTAGCGGATGCCTACGTCATAACATATATGCATGCCAAATTTCAGCCCGATCCGTCCAGTGGTTTGGGCTGCGCGTTGATAGATCACTATGTCAGTCAGTCAGTCACCTTTGTGTTTTATACAGGGTGGAATTTTGTAATGCCACCTGGAGTGAAAGTACTCTTAATACTGCAGATAGAAAATTTTACTGAAAGAAAACATTCCTTTATTTTTGAAAAGAAAGAGAACTGCATTCATAGATTTTCGAAAATTTTTCGAAAATTCACTACCATACCATACAATTTTCTGTACATAATTAAAATAATTTAAGATTTTATGGATTTCCTTTCATTTGATTTATCAAGTTTGTTAGAGAGATTTCATCATTAAACTTGACCCTAACGATCGATATAATAAAAATACAGGGTGTAATTTTTAATACATTTTAGTTGGTTCGATTCCCGGGTGTGGCAAGGAAATCTTTTAATGCAGTTTTATTTCTTTTCGAAAATAAATAAATGTTTTCTTTGAGAAAAAAATTCTATCTATAATATTAAGAGTAATTTCCCTCCAGGTAGCATTACAAAATTCCGCCCTGTATATTTAAATGTGCGATAGAAATTAGGTACTAATATTATTATGTTATTACACTAAAATTGTCTCCAGGGTGACGGCTCAACTAGCTCCTCGCCTGGTCAACCAGCTCCACATGGCAGCGCGGAAGTATCCTGGCTGGAAGTCGCTCACAGACCTGCCGTACCACAAGCCCTGGAGACACCCGGAGCAAGTTCCACCATATAGGATCTCCTTGGCTGATGTAAGTTTTATTAGGAACTAGCTTTCCGTCCGCGGCTTAGCCTGCATGGAATTTCGTTTGTTAAATTTTCCTGAATTTTCTTTGCTATAAACCTCACGGAGCCCGAGACCTTTCCAACGAATGCAAAACCGTGGAAATCGGTTCGTGCGTTCTGGAGTTATAGCGTCAGGAAGGAAAACCCGACTTATTTTTATATAGTAGACTACCATTACTATTCCTGTTGATCTTTTTAGTAGGTACCCTCAAGGTAGACCGACGACCTCATAAAGGCTGGAAGGCGCTATGTACAGGCCAGGCCGCAACCAACCGGTCGATATGGAAATTAGGGCATGAATATCGGAATCTCGGAATCTCGTAATATCGGAATCTCGGAACACGAGATCCGATATTACAATTCCGATATTGAGCGACCCAATATCGTAATATCGGAATCAGATAAAGGTTTTCATTGGGATTTTAAACAAAGCATTTAAACGCGCCACAACCTGCCACAAAGCCCAAAGTACATGATTGGCAAAGACCAATGACTTTCTCATGTCTCTCACCATCACTTTTTGTCCAATCAATTTTAGGGCTTGCCGTAGTTGGTCTATGTCAGCGACTTTAGTTCGTTCAGGGAGCTAGTCGTTTCTGATTCGATCTCGTAAAGAAACACCAAGCTCTCCTAAGAACGCTGTGCAACTTTGAGAGGCCACGTTTCCGAGCCGTATACCATCACTGGTAACACTCACTGATTGAAGACTTTCGTCTTTAAGTACTGAGGTATTTTGGACGAAAAGATGTTATGTAGTTTCACGAACGCTGATTCGACGATTTACCGCTTTCTCGAAATTGCATCTACCTAGCTGAATATTTTTTCCGAGGTAGACATACTTGTCAACAAGATCGAGAATCGAGCTCCCAACCGAAACTGAGTAATAATCATAATAATCATAATCATAATCATTTATTTGCAATTAAACATGGTATATAAAGATGTTAGGTACAGACAGTGAGAACTATACATGTTTAGCTAAATTATTATTAGCATGCAAAAGTTAAATTAGAAACACGACAATATTAGCGACGATTCTAAAGAAGAACAAAACTACAGCAAGTCAAAGAACTCTTTTAAATCGTAAAGTGTCAGTGATAGCAACCATTTACTCAAATGTTTCTTAAAATTACAAATGCTTAATGTCCTAAATTCTTTGGGTATTTTATTATAGATTTTAATACACATGATTAAACAGCTATTTTTGTACTGCACTGTTTTTGGGGTGACCTGAAGTACCAACCTGTTTGCGTCTCTACTATTTCTTGGCGAAACATGGACATTCGACATAAGGTTCGTTTTGTCTATGTTCATACGAAGGCCTACCTTTTAGGAGACTCGATTAAGGTCTTCTTGGTCTTTCAAAACTGACTTGGCAGCTGATGGGGTAGCAAGGTTCTGGAGTGGAGGCCACGTACTGGAAAGCGCAGCGTAGGACTGCCATCCACAAAGTGGACTGACGACCTCATAAAGGTAGCAGGAAGACGCTGGATGCAGGCCGCCACCAACCGGCCATTGTGGAAATCATTGGGGGAGGCCTATGTTCAGCAGTGGACGTCCTGTGGCTGAAATGACGATGATGATGATGATGATAGCTCGTGGTTTTGTGAGTTATTCATCGATAATATAATCAAAAAGGAACAAACTTACTAGCAAGTTTTTTACCACTCTCTTCAATTTATGTAACATGTAACATGAATGACACTACAAATCATTCCGACAACCTATTGGTTGAAGGTTAATATCATGAAGGAGTACAAGTTTCAAAGTCAAAGTCAAAATTTCTTTATTTGTTTAGACTAATAAATAGTTCTTACAAATCGTCATTTTGCTCTTAAGGAGCCTCTACATGTCTCATAATCTTTTTACCCTACCAGCGCTTCGAGACCAACATTTGGCAAGTGCTGAGAAGAAGCGCCGCAACAAACTCAGTCACCACTGTCTGCCGGTTAATATAAATAAATATAAATAGTAGTAGTAGGTACATTCGATTCAGGAGCAGTTCACTGAATTTACCATGCATTCTTGTATGGTGTATCTTATAAGAATGGGTATATATACAAGATTGCGTAGTATATTAAACAAGGTAGTGACGTGCTAATATCTAGACTTACATATTAAGATACTAGTAGAAATGACTCGCATACATAAATTTGAATAACTTGGATTGACCAGTCCCCGAAAGCAGCGCCTGTTCACAGACATGACGAGTGAACCAGCCATCGCTTCACTCGACCATATTAGAGGGAATGTAACGACCCGCCTCACTACGCCACCACCCCAGAGACATTTTAGTGAGAATGACAATGGGTGCAATTAGTGTCAGTTCATGAGTGAGTACTATCATCATCGGTTACTATCCAACATCCTGATGCGTGCGCTTTATATGATTCTGTGGCTCGACTTTCGCCTGGCGCGGCAACCAAATAAAAAGCCTAACAAAAGCCGACAGGCCGGACAAGGCAATATTTGGCCGGACAAGTCCCTAAAAAGCCAAACATGTCCGGCTAAAGCCGGACGCCTGGCAAGCCTAGTTGCAGACCAAGATCTAACCTAAGTTAGTTTAGCTTAGCTCGCTGTTTTCCATAGTGTTTCCATAGTTTCCAACTTTCCAGTCTGCACACAACTATGGAAAACTATGTCAACTATGCGAGCTAAGCTCTACTAAGTTACACACGTAGTTACAAACATTACTATGAGGTCTCACAGTGCGCGTGGACGCACAGGATGACACATGAACCAATCACAGAGCTCTATTCAAAACTGTGCGTTCGATCTGCTGCCTCATTTAAGCAAGCATCGTTTGTGAATACGGGCGTAAGTTATTTAGCTTAGATCGCTGTTTTTATTTTTATTTATTTAATAGGACAACCAACAAGACATACACTAGAATACAATCAATATTTATAACGTATTTTTCATAGTGTTTGCATAGATTGCAGTCTGTACACAACTATGGAAAACTGTGCCAACTATGCGAGCTACTCTCTACTAACTTAGTTTAACTCTTGGTTTGCAATCGGCCATTCCTGTCCTGTCCTTATTNTAAAGTTTAAAACTGAGTAATTAAAAGGCAAAATATGAATATTTACATGAAATTATAACCTCAACGTTGGGAATTGTAATGTTTTTATTTTCAGTGTATAATGCAAAATACATGTAATGTACCTATAGATATTAGTTAATTAATGAATAAAAACAATACTCCCCTGTTAATTTGTTCCGTAAATTTGAATTTATGAAGATTTTTCGTTGACAGCTGACGAAATTTTGTCTTCACTTTTTTGTCTAAATACTAAATATTTTCGTCGGATAACACTCGTATACATTATTTATACGATAAACAATTGATTTCAGTATATTTTATCACAATATTACACGAAATTATAATAAATTAACATAAAAAAATTTTCCCGTTAAAATTACGCGTCTGACAGCTAGGGATCTTTGCGAGGGATATTTGCTTNCAGTCAAAACTCTAGAAGGGATGAAGTTTCGTTTTATTGCGATGCACTATGGGTATAACAATAATTGCTGGTAACTTACCTTTAACAACTTTAAGTCGACGAAGCAGCGTTAATTCGTAGGGATTTTCTTTACCAATCGCTGAATGTACCTAACGTACTCTGAGATCTAGATTTATCTAGGAGGAATATAAGATGAGGTTAGAGGTATTCCAATATATATACATATGTTACGGTCAAAGTGATAAATGTGAAAATTATGAATAATCGCCGGTTATTATGAATAATTACCGCATGATTTGGTAAATGTGATTAATATGAGGTCATTTATGTGTGTATAAAACTAAATAGGCGGCTTAGGGGTGGCCCAAGGGCCACCCCCGCCGCACCTTAACCTATTTTTCACTTTAAATCAAAACATTATGTTATGGGCATCATGGAAAAGTAATATTATGCAAGAAACATTCCAAACTCATTATGCCAAATTATATTAATATATGATATCAAAACGTTCAAAAGTTTGGTTGTACACGAGCACGTACACAAGATGTTGTTCTCTTTTATGAAATTTGTTACCTACTAAGGTTGAATTATTAAATAATCACTGTTAAATGTGATTAATTTATCACTTTTACCGCGACTGTCGGTAATTATTCATAATAACCGGTTATTATTAATAATTTTCAATTTATCACATTAACCGTAACATATACATACTTAGCTGTAGGTATTATATCCACAAGGCTTAAAAAGGAATTCGTACGCGCATTCTTAAAAGCTTTTCCTCGTTTAAGCCTAAATCTAAGAGAACATTCTAGATGCCATTATTGAATTAGCAACCTCTACTTTTATCCACGTAGGCGAGCGGGCAATCCACAAGGGTCGGCCCTTTAGTACTCGAATCATTGAGCACGATCCTTTACTTTTCTTAGAGGGTTTTTAGGCTTTTCCGATTGTAGATATACCTAATACCTATTCGGATGATTTTTATGACCAACATTTTTGAAACAAACTCGATCAATGTCGGCAATATGTATTGAAGTGCTTTCACTCGGTCTTTTTAGCAATAATTTTACTAGATAACTATTTACATGGTATTATTCTTTAGCTATTTAGTTGGTAATACAAAGTTCTATGCAAAAAAATATATATGGTTATTCTTTTACTATTGAATACTACGAATGTCTACCGTTTGTACCTAAGGTAAGAAAACCATTTTGGAATAGAAAGCGTTACCGCGTATCCCTTAGGGAACTGCGTATTTTTTGCAAGGACACATCCTGTTATTTCTGTAGGTAGATAGGTATATTTGATTACATTATAGTATTTGTATTCCGCATTACGTGCAAAATGAACAAAGCTTTAGGTATCCATTATGTGTCCCCTGAACAAGTAACAAGAACTTCAGATCTCTCAGATTTTTAGAGCTAGTTCACTAACAGTTAAGCCAACTTCGAAGTCGACTTCAAAGGGACGCGGGTTCGAACCTCGCTGAAACTCGAGTTTTGTGGTGAGCCTACTCGTGACACAAACATATTTATTTTAAGTGCAACACATTTAACAACAATTTATCTTAAGTATGAGGGGCTAATGGGATCGTTAGTAAATTGTGCGATACAAATTAACCACGATAACCGAACGGTGAAGGGGTCGGACTGGCCGACTAGTGATCCGGGGAACGTGGGTTCGGTTCTCGCCGCCGCTCGACTATTATTGTGGTGAGCTCAGTCGTGAGACACAAATATATTTAGCTTAGTACGAGGGGCTAATGGGACCATTAATAAATTTTGCGATACACATTAGGTACATAATATACATTTTTTTTTATAAAAAAAACTAAGTTATTACACTAAAATTGTCTCCAGGGTGACTGCTCAACTAGCTCCTCGCCTGGTCAACCAGCTCCACATGGCAGCGCGGAAGTATCCTGGCTGGAAGTCGCTCACAGACCTGCCGTACCACAAGCCCTGGAGACACCCGGAGCAAGTGCCGCCGTATAGGATCTCCTTGGCTGATGTAAGTTTTATTAGGAACTAGCTTTCCGCCCGCGGTTTAGCCTGCATGGAATTTCGTTTGTTAAATTTTCCTGAATGTTCTTTGCTATAAACCTCACGGAGCCCGAGACCTTTCCAACGAATGCAAAACCGTGGAAATCGGTTCTTGCGTTCTGGAGTTATAGCGTCAGGAAGGAAAACCCGACTTATTTTTATATAGTAGACTACCATTACTATTCCTGTTGATCTTTTTAGGTACCCTTACGGTAGACCGACGACCTCATAAAGGCTGGAAGGCGCTATGTACAGGCCAGGCCGCAACCAACCGGTCGATATGAAAATCATTGGGGGAGATCTATGTTCAGCAGTGGACGTCCTATGACTGAAATGATGATGATGATCGCTCTTACAAACAATTGATTTCTTTGTGTAATAATAAAGTATGCATCTAGGCTACCCAACCCAATCTGTCTGTGAACATAATGATTTCAGTCAATGAATAACGTTTCAAGTAAATTAAAAATCCAACATGTTGATGAAACAGCAAACTTTTTGTTTGTCATTAAAATAAGAATCTCATGATGTATTTCAGCAATATAGAATTCAAATTAATTGGACGTACGTAGTAACGTAATTAGTCGATTCTGAGTCTTCGATTTTCCCCGAAGCTGGAGTGGAGATTCTTAGCAACAGGAAACATAGCTCAAAGCATTCTGAGAATTACTTACAACTGGTTCTTAAGGTATTTAGTCGATGAAAGTCTCTTCATGAAATCGGGAACTTATTTTGCGGTAGGCTTTGATGTATTTATCCTTTTTCTTTACCGAAGGTCGGTTTTTGCCTCCGAAATCGAATTACGCGCTTCGGATTCTTCGCAACTTGCGAAAGGTCAGAAACTCATTAAAGGTTAGGCAAGATTGCTCCGAGTTGAGATAATGTATCGATTGGAGGCCCTTACAACTGACGTGTATCGCGATATATGTATGTATGTATCTATACAGATGCGTCTTAGGCGTAAATCGTGATTATTTTTGAGATACCCTGTATTCAGAGATTATTTTTGAGTTTTATTATCATCCTTAAAGAAAATTTAACAGGTGTTGGTGGTCTTTATATTCAACATTTTATGCTTACTACAAAAATCTAATTAAAATTGCATTTATTCATTCCAGTGCGTAGACCCTGATGCCCCACCAGTCCCCGAAGAGCCAAAACCAGACACATCCAAAGGCAAACTTGAAGTGCCCCAAGCCAAAGAAATAGAGAGCCACAGCGTAGAAGACCTTGGAGATATATCATCAGAATTCAGCGTGGAAGTGGAAGAAGACTTATCTGAACTCACGCTAGACTCAACCAAGAAGAAAGGCAAGTTCTACAAGCTAGTTAAGTCAATGAAGAACAGAAGGAAGAGTGTGCAAGTGGCCAAAAGTGCTGACAATTTGATGGAAGGGAAACCGGAGGAAAAGCAAGAGAAGAAAAAGGGGTTCAAATTCCATCGTAGGTTCAGTCTTAGTAGAGGGAGGGAGGATTGAGATTTTATAAGTAAAATGGGTAAGGATTCTAAATGAGGTTATGAAATGCCGAAAAGCCGAAATAAATGACTGTAATTGCTCTGTGCTTTGATCTCTATCAAGTACCATTTTACGGCCATGACTTCTGTGGGTAGTCGAGCGAGCGGTATTTATAATTACACTTACAACGCGTTAAGAATGTATTATAATGATTTTCATTGAATGGTTCTCAAATGTGTTTTGTTTTTTAATTACTTCATTGTGACTACAATGTTTAGAACATAAATAAGAGCAAATTGACTCTAATTGAATTTTAGTTGCAAGTTACTGTTTTTTTCATTAAGTCACGTGTCAGATCTGAAACAAAACTATATCAAAGCTGACCTAAACATATCAGCTAAGCACACATTTCGACTGCGGTCTATTTCTTCTCAGTTTAAACTCTAAAATGAGCTTATTGATAAAACAGTAGTTAAAATCGATGTTAAACCTGGTTGAATGGTAGATAAATGTTAATGAATTGTCAAAGAGAGAGATTGTTAGCAATTTGTCAGTGTTACGATGTTTTATGATATAAGATGTTACTGTAGCTAGACATTTTTGTGAATTTTAAATACAATAAATGTTGGATGTCGGGTCACAGCTCTACAACTATGATGTTCAGACAAAATATACTGTAAGTATACAACGTAGATAACCACATAGGTAGGTACATTTCCATTAATTTACCCGATGTTTCGACTTCGAATTAATTAATTCTCATGTTAACCTAATAATATCGTAGAACGATAGTGTAAAGCGAGCGTTATTTTTTTTTGTTTAAATCTTTCATTTAAAATTAGAAAGTTTATGTAGATCCATGTTTTGGACCCGATGTCTAATGCTGAATTAATTAAAACCTACAAATGGTTTCCGTTGTTGACATAGCGATCAGTAGTACGTTGCGTGTTGTAGATTGTATCTATTAACATAACATGTTACATAGTAATCTATCCGCTGTTTCGTATTTCTTATTAAATAAATTCGTAATGTAAGTACCAGATTCATTTATTCATTGTAATTAACATTTATCGCGACTAAACTAAAATCTATTTCGATTGTGATCTTCCGATTCAAATCAACTCTTGTATTAGTTGTACAAATACTAAGTTAATAAGTCTATAAACATTGGAGTGATAAATAAAATAAAACAGTATCTGATACAAAGCACAATAATCTTTTAACATAATCTAAAAAGCAATACAAAATGAATTTCTTCTGTGGTCTTCCTCTTTTCTATTTAGACATAAAGAAAGATGCACGTAATCTGACTTAATATTAATAATGTTCAATCTTATTTATTTGTAGGTAAGTAAAGTATATATACCTATAAGCTCTCATATCTTTTCGTCTTTTAAAATTTTGGTTAAAATGTGCAGGGCAATAAAACCATCAAATCTATCTTTAACAGCTTTTTTGCTTTCTAAAAAAAGTTTTTGGGATGCCATATAGAGAATAGTTGGAACTCTATTTCATATTCGATTTGACGTTACGTTTATAATTTTACCAGTTGTTTTTTGAGGGTTAGTTACTTTAAAATACAGTAATTTTAACTTTTGTAACGCTGATAATACGTGCTCTACATTTTCGTATAATGAGGGCTTGTCTTCAAGAAACCGGCGAGTTTAGGTTCTGTCACTCGCTAGTGACGATAACTGGTGAGTTAAAATGTCCTCATTTTAGAGTTAAGGTTCGAATGTTAACCTTTAAAGTCCCAGACAGCATACATTAATGCCATAACAATTGATTATCTATTGTGTCTAGATTCGCGGGCCTTGAAGGATTAATAAAAAATATAATGGACAAAAAACTTATACTGGTTTATATGATTTGGATTTAACACAGAGCATGAATATTATTATAAAAGAAGTATAACTGAGAAAAAAAGTTAAATCAAGTCTTTGAAACATTTTTTGATGTACCTATTTAAAGTAACAAAAATAGATAGAGTGTAGCAAAAAACGTTGAAATTGCGGTGCGTGCATACCAAACTTACTTTTGTAGTGAAGTGCAAAGTTATCATTATGTATTTGACGTACCTATTAACATAATAATAATAAAAACTTTTTACTTACATAACATTTTTTTAAAATGTGGCTCAGTATTTCGATCTAGCTACACAAAACAATAATGCAAAAATATTAGTTTCGGTACTACGTAAGTTGCTGGTTTACACATTCAATATTTTATTTCAACAAAAAGAATTTCCAATTCATTTGCTTGTGAAATAAAACAAGTGCGGGAACGGCACGTGTCAGTAATTTAATTAATCTAATTACAATAAATAAATAATTCATAGTAAAACCAACTCGAACAAAACATACATTTTCGTTTTCCATACATGTTTTAGTTTTACAAAATAACAGCAACAGACCGTGAATGTCATGAACGTTGTTTTACCCTGTCAAGTTGCAGATTTATGTTGCTCTACAAAAAATATTTAAATGTGGATAAACCTTTAGATCGCCAACAATACAAAAGTACATTTTCCAGACTTTGCAAAAAGTTAATCGAAATGAGTCTATTGATCGAGAATATCAAAGAAAACTCGTTCAGCAAAAAAATCTTTACGTGAAAATAATAACAATAGGTTTCAGTTTTTGCTCGCTGTTGTGGTTAGAGTCAGGTTCATGGTCATTATTTGTTTTGTTACAACTTTTCTTTCGTTCAATTGAAAGAGATGCTTATTAGAATTGTAGACGAAAACCGAAGCTCTATGTAGGTATTCTAGACTTTTCTTTCATCAGGTTTTCATCAAAATCGTGTCGGTTTAAAAACTCTATAATAATCATAATTCAAATGATTCTAACTTTTGGTGAATTTGTTTATTTAGTTACTATAAATTAGCTAGGATCATCAAGTCAAGGTATAAGCTCCTACTTGCACTATTGACTGAAATATATCAGTCTTCTTCTTCTACCGTGTGGGTTATCACAACTGTACCTCTAGCACGAACAACTTTCGTCTTCGAATCGTTTGCGTACTCGATAAAATTCGATACTCAATCTTCGAATTAAACACTAACGTGACAATTTTGATTCTCAAAATAAGTTTCGTGCAACCACATCTCATACTAAGTTCACTTTACGACACTTGCCCTTGTGAACCAAGGGCAAGCTTAAAAGATTTTAACTCAAACTGAAGAATTGAACCTGGAACCCCTGGAAGGTAAGAAATTTCGAGGTATTATTAATTACTATAATTTTTAATAACTCAAAAATTCTAAAATTGGAATTCAGCAAAGGGTGTTAGCAAGATCTAGAATATGTAGATAAGACGGCGAAGGAGCTACATATCGGTTGTTTGAATTATTATTTATAATCATATTTAAACCAAACTATCTACATTCTATGTATTATTATTAAGTGCTTTATGATTCATATTCTATACTTGTAAGATGTGTGCCTTTACTCTCTTTTACTGTAAGCTATCCTGTAATCCCTCTATACTTACTTATATACTTAATATTATACATATAACTACAAATAAACTACCGATTGTATTAGGTTCTGTATACACAGCTTGGTGTTAAAATATTACATTGGGGTATGAGTATTTTAACTATGATTAACGTACATACGAGTAGATATCCTTCGTTACTTTCTTTATAATCCTAACATATTAAAAAGTATTAAGCTTTTTGTATGAATACTTGTAACGCGAGATCCAAAATTATTTAAATGTAAGCTAAATTCGAGCGATATTGAATTTTTCACGTAAATAATTATATTGGAAACGTTGCTCGAATTTTCCTTTGACAGCTCGTTTCGTAGCTCCCTTGTTAGCGTCTCATCAGACTTAGGTCAAATGAGCGAATTTAAACTAATAATTGTTCAAAAAAAGTTATATGCCCATTTTCACCATCAATTCCTAATTTTTAAGTGACCCCTATGGTAACACATAACAGGAATTTGGTTTTCAAAAGGGTCACTTACAAATTAGGGATTGATGGTGAAAACGGGGAATAATCCCTTTTTTATTTTTTGAAAACCGTTAATCTTGTAACTTGTTTGATCTCTTTCTTTAGTCTGAGGTAAAGAAAAATATCGGATAGAAATCTTTGTAATAAAACTCTACCTATACTTCGAACTTGACCCAGATTTTGTTCTTTATGGGTACAATGTATAATTGAAATGCTAATAATTATAGCTTATGATTATTTAGCTTCGCAGATATTGTTGAATAATGTAAATATTGTTGAACTATATTTGATTTATAACATTAGACAGTGAGTATTGTTTCGTTGCTTACCATTTAAAAGGTGTTTAATCGGAAAAGGTTTAAAATTAAAGTAATAGTTAAAATATGCGTGTTCTGATACGACACTTGACTAGTTCAAAATTCAAGTAAATAGATTGTGATTGGTTGAAGTTGGACAGAATAATTTCAGAAATGAATTTATTATTTACTGTGGTTATATTCAAACATTATTATGTATCGTTCCAGATGATAGACAAATAAAGTGTTGTTATTAATATTCTCTCCTCTCTAAATAAACAAGATTTGCGTTAATCCAATATTTAACTATGTAGTTGTATAATAAGATGGAGATTGCTCTCAAAATGTTACTTTGTGATATAGCTGGTTGGATTTACCTTTATGCATTTATGTAAAATCGATTATCACGTTATGCAAATGTTTATCGTCAAGTTATACTGTTCTATTTGTTGAGCCAATTAGCGTACTATACATATAATAAAGATATACGTATTAAGAAACTGTTATTTTATTTTATTAAGACACTTTACTTAGTTCATTAAGTGTAGTGCAAGGAACTGAGCAAACCGATTGTATTGGCACGTGTAAAAGGTTCTACAACTTTAAAATTGTTTTAAAAATAATATTTATAATGTCCTCTGCCTTCTAGGTTGTTTGGGAGAGATCGCTGTATAGCGATAATACTGCCTAAATTGTGCCGTATCTTGTATATTCCTTTATTTTTTCTTCTTGTGTAGTGTGGTGTACAAAGTGTGTTCTATCTATCCCACAGGACTATTATTAAATGATGAGTACATGATGTCGTCGTGCCCTGCGACCTGCGTGCCCAAACAACTGCACGCAGGAAGATATAATGAATGCTACTGACAACGCCACTCTGGTAGCGGAGTTTTGGGCTGACACTGTATAGGTTTGTTGTCGACACGATAAGAAGAACAAAGAATATTACCTAAAATATAGAAATAGTCTAGCAACAGATACACAGGGTCTTAGATTTTATGTCTGTCTCAAGAACAAAGAAGTGGAACAATTTTACTAATTATATTTATTCACATTTTAATGTACCGTGCTATATTGCTTTACAGCATCATATTGTTTCAGTGTCTTGTATTGTCAGCTATTATTGTCTAGGTGATTTCAAAGGCTGTACTATCATGTTAAGGTTGTTTTACACGTGTTAAGTAGTTAACTCAATTTTAACTTAATTTTAAGTGATCACACTTACTTAACTATACATGTAATCAGCCTTTACATGCACATAAGACGAATTTCCATTGATTCTGATTTCTGAATCCAAAATCAATAATTTTCCCACTTTCGCAACATGTTTCTTTAATACTCTGCTCCTATTGGTCGAAATAATGAACCCTTAAGTAGTTTTCCTCGATAAATGGGCTATCCAACACAAAAATATTTTTCAAATCGGACTAGTTGCTTCTGACACTAGACTCAGCTTTATATTAGTATGGATTTGTATAGATAGAATAATAGTTTTTAATTTTTGCTTCTTGAAAGTTGACCCGCAGTGATATTAATCAGAACCCTGTATTTCCAATAACATAGGAGGACAGCCAACAAAGGAATAAATAATTTGTATTGAAAAATATTACATAGAACACCACACACTTTTCAGTAATTTAGAGGCCAATATTGTTTTGAAACTTTTAGGTATATCTTAGAGCGAGTTCTTTTCCTTTATTGTTGGAGGAAATTGCTCGATTTTTTTTGCCTTTCTAAACCTTGTGTTCACGTCATCAAGGCCGTGATCTCCTTATGTAATATACGTCGATGCAATCGATCGATTTCTGCCAGTATCCTTTAAGTTACTGGCGGACTTTCATCGGTCCGAGGAAGCCAGTCTTAGTGTGAAGTCGTGTTAAAAAACTGACTAAAGTTTTAAAAAGTGTACTT